AGATCGATGGTCACAAAAAATTGTTCCACCAAAATGAACAAAGAGGGCAGCTGTAATAACCATTTTTTTCATTTTCACCATGATTTTTATTATCATTATTTTTATTATTATTATTAACAAAACAACCAAAAATTATTATTATCAAATAATTTTTTTACAAGCCCTAAAACAAAGGCTCATTTCAAGGCGCGCATACAACTAAAGTTTCACCCTTTATCTCTATCTGTCATTTTTATCTAGTCGTTGGATCAAATATAATCCAACGGCCCAGATCAATCCAAAGTTAGGATTTCACCCTAAACTTCTTCCAAGCCTCCGCCGTCGTGTGACTTCCCTTCTCCCCGCGTGAGATGCACACACCCGTGAGTCTCTAATGGCCAAGGTGTGCTTTCATCACTGTCGTCGAATTTCTTATTGGTCAACGTAGAAATCATCAAAGGGCCTAGGGGTTAGTTTTTTACCCTCGTTCTTTCACTTAAGTCACCTCCGCTTCTAGAGCGTATCTCCGCTGATGTTCCCTCATCGATAAGTGCACAAGAGCCCGAAAAAGCAAAAACACAAACAACAACAAGATTAGATTTTTTTTACCCATAACATGCAACATGAAACCAATAAAGAGAATGAGTTTTGCTTTAAAATCAAATGAAAAAGAAAGAAAAAAGGAGAGACTTTTAAACAAAACGAAGAGGGATTCCTTTAAAAGAAGCCACAAATTAACAAAAGAAAAAACATAGGAGAATTTAAAAGAGAGAGGAGACTTACCGTCATACGCTGGAGCCTCCAAACTTTGCCAGAATTTTGAAGGTAAACGTTTAGATCTAGGTCGTATGAGGGAGTGTTAGGGAAAACTAGCCTAGGATTTGGGTTTGGGGAGAAGGGAGGTACATTTTGGTACCCTTTGGGTTTTCAGACCACCGCTGGCGACGACGGGTTACGGTGGCTGGAGCTCAGTTGCGGTGGCCGAAGGTCTTGTGCTTCCTCCGACGAGGGGAAGAGAGGGAGTGAAAAGAATTTTCCTCCTTTACTAAAAAACAAGAAAATAAACAAATGAGGGAAAATGATCATTTTTAGCCTGATTTTGGGTTTAAATTCTCGTGTCAAAATGACGTCGTTTGGGGGTTCTGTGTTTTGACGAACGAGCTAATCATTTCCACAACCCCTTTTTTTTGTAAAATTTCATTTTGGTCACTAATTCAAGGCTATTTTGGCTTTATTTCAAATTTATTTGTCCTCATCGCGCTATTTTCCATATTTATGTTTAGTGTTCATTTTTGGTTTATTCATGCTCATACCCCTATGCATTTGTTGTATTTTTACACTTAAGTCACTGTTCCAATTATAAATTTTCATGCTCAATTTTAGCTACTATTCAATTTAGTCACTATTCGACATTTGTATGCTTAATTTCAAGCAAGTCCTTATATTATGTTGTTGACTTCAATTTATAGATTAATTATCTTCGTAATTAACTCTAATATTAATTTAATTTAATAATTTTTGTTACGATTTGTAATTCATTAACTAGAATTTTACTTAAATTTGCATCACTTACCTTAATACTCATTAATTTATTAATTTTAGAATATTTATATTTATTTTGTATGCTTGTTAATTATTTCTTATTTACATTTTATTTTGATGCGTTTAATTTATTTTTCTAATTTTCTTTTTTTTAATTCATTAGATTATAGGGTTCACTTTTAGTTTGATTTATTTTTAATATAGTCCTTAAACTTTAGAACTTTTAAAGTTAGTCCTTGAAATTTTATATATGTATGTTTGTGTATAGTTTTCTTTCTTTATTTATTTGTTCCATTTCTAGCCCTTATTTTTAAATATATATATTTATTTCATTTTATATATTTTGACTTATATATTAAATCTTTTAGAATTAATATTTTGAAAATTACAATATGCTCCATTTATGTTCAAATTTCTTATGTATACTCGTATCAATTTTCAAGAACTTATTTTTGTAGAATGGGCATGAAAAGTGCAATATGTAGAGGTAGCACGATTCAATATGACATTCGAACAAAAAGTGAACTTGAAACAATCGAGTACACCTTGATAAAAAATGAATAAATTCAACAATGTTCGATAAAAGGATTACACTTCAAATTTCGACTCGAATCCAAAAGTTTCACCACGATGACAACATATAAGCGATCAAGTACCAATTTTGAGCACTGTGGGGGTGCTAATCCTTCCCTATGCGTAACCGATTTCCGAGACCTTAAAAACGAATCTTTGTTTAATGCAGACCCATTTTGTCTGTTTAAAATGATTTTTCTTAAATTTGTTTTAAAGAACATAATAGGTATTCGACCTACCTAACATAAAGATCGATGAAACTCCAATTCAAATTGATTTCGAAACCCCATCATCATTGCATAAAATTTAATAATTTTATTTTTATTTCTTTAAAAAATGGTTTCGACAACTTATAATATATTATAAAGATTTTACTATTGATAAAGGATTAAATAAAATACATTATAAAAAATTTCAATGGAATCACAAAGCAGAAGTAACAGAGGTGATTGTCAATTATACAAGTTTGGACCTTTTCAGTTTGTGACCACTTTGGAAAGAAGGATGGTGATTGCCCATTCAATTTTCTTTTCTTTTTGTGCGAGGCTGTTACTGTAAGTTGGAATTACCCCTTGAGATCATCAAAATCTGACTTTTATATCTAATTAGGGTTAATGACACGAATGTTCTCGAGAAAATATCAAATTACTTAGATGTCTTTGAGGTTGGTTTCTGCAAAAGTCTAAAAAATACAGCAAAATTTAAGATTAAAAACGGTGAAAATCGTGTGTGGCTAAAAATATTATAAAATGATATAATTTTTATAATATTTTTAATTATAATTTAAAATGTTATAATTAAGGTAAGATTTTAAATTACGTCCAATCTAAATATTATGTTTTTTTAATAATATTTTCAATCGTTCTCAATTATTTTAGTTTTCCCCCTTAAATTTTAGGTTATACGGTAAAACTATCATGTTTTCTTTGACTTTTTTTAATTGAAATGACACATAGTTGTATAGGCAAATAAATACGAAAATAAAATACATGAGATATATATAAAGTTAGAAAGTATATATATTTGAATAGAAGCAGTTAATCTTATTAAAAAGTGAAAATATCTAAAATTACAATAAGACTTTACAACTATCTTCGTAAATTAAATATATAATTTAGACATTTTCCTATAACATTGAAATTAGTCACTTTAAGTCATATAAGGATCATATCTAGAAAAGGTTAAAAATCCAACCAAAAAACTCAATAAAAGAATAGATATGAACACATCTGACTGCATTGACAAACGGACCATAAAAGGGATTAAACTATTGAAAGAACATCGAAAATCATAAATAAGAACCGAGCATCGTGAGAAACTATCAATGAATACAAAATTGCAAATTCAAATTCAATCCGAGGGTCCATAGCTAGTAAGATCAACAAGATTACAAATAATTGTTATCTTGGTTAGTTGTTGCGTCGTCAAATTAACCTTAAGAAAAAAAAAGTAAAAAGAATAGTCAAACGACACATAAAGAAGATGAAAAATATGCCAAAAAGGCATAATTATTCTTATTAAAAACTTGAAAAAAAAAAAGAATCGACGGTCGTCAACCAATATCAAAATTGAGATTGCTACTGACAAAACAAAATTAAAGAAGAAAAATTGATCTGATTTATAGAAAGCAACATAAATTCCAAGGAAGAAAGAGAGAAGGATTAGGGTAAAGTAGTATATGAACTATATTAACAGAAGTACTGAAATAAAAGAGACATTCATGCCATTAACCCATAAAAAATAATGAAATAAAAGAGACATTCGTGCCATTAACCCATCTAATTATATCAAACCATTTTGATTCTTTTGTAACAGTTTCTGAGTATTACTGCTTCAACAGTTTTTGTTTGTCTTTGGTAGTCGAGATGTTATTGTCGCAAAGCAGGAGAGGGACATATCTAAAGTTGACAAGGAAATATAAATTATTTTTGTTTTCATCCAGCAGAGATCACCCTGTGCAGCTTACAATAATATATAAAACAAAATGTAAAGCAGGCTAGGTCTTAAGTCCTAAACCGCGTTCTATATTCACATTTGTGGGACAATCTACATGAACATATAGAATTATCAACTCAGATCATGCCAGGGCTTTTGTTTTCTTTGGTAGGAATAATTCACTTTAGCAAGAAGACAACAAATACGTCAATCACTTCAAACATGATAAATGTCATGTCTATAAATTTAAAAAAAATTATTTAAATATAAACTTAAAATTACTAATTTTAATCTAGAATTCCAAAAAAAAAAAATCAAACCCTTAATATCATTTCAAACCTCAATTATCAACGTCGAACAACCACCCAAGTCACTGATCATCTAATGACCGAAATTATTTTTATTGTTATCTCAAACCTCTAAATCTGTTGTTTGACATCTTCATATCATTGTAGGGTATACATAGAAATCAACAACGAAGATGGCTGCCTGTCCCTTCCGTTCGATGTGGTGACGACAACAAACAAGTTTGAAACTATGGATTTTATGATTTGGAGTTTTTTTTCTTTGAAACTTTTGAGAAATTTAATTTTTTAAACAAGAAATTAATAATTATAAGTTTTTTAAAAATTATAAAGTGAAATGTGTCACATTTTAAGTAGTTGATGATCTTTTTAACGGCGGTGAAGGGTCAAAAATTTAAAATAATATCGGAAACGTTACACCTATTTTGATAAAAAAATTAAACACTTGAAATAGAAAAGAGACAAAATTTGAGCACTGATCTTTTAATTAAACCTTATTTTTAATATAATACCCTGTTTTTCTCATTGCTGTAAAGTGAACAAATTGAACTTTGCAGGAAACATGTTGAATTTTAGCTACTAACTCGTATTGGTCCACGCATTATCAATCATCCCTGAAGAAGAAAGTTTATGATTGTTGCAGAAAAAAATTATGTTCCACAGAAGATGAAAGCAGCTTCAAGTTGGTCAGTACCTAACATCGTTTCTTCTATCTTATTTACCAAGATAATTTTGATTCTGTTTTCTTCCCCTCAGTTCTGTTTCGCTAGAGATAATATAACAGAAAAAAGTAGACTTGCAGATGGAGAAACTCTTGTTTCACCAGGAAATGTATTTGAACTGGGGTTCTTTAGCCCATCAAACATCTCTAACGTGAAGAGATATGTGGGGATATGGTACATCTCCAATCCAAAACTACTTGTTTGGGTTGCCAATAGAGAAAATCCAGTTCCAGACAGGATTGGAGTTTTATATGTTGCAGATGGCACACTGAAGTTATCCGATGGGAAAGGGAACCTATACTGGTCACAGCCTGGGGGTAAGCGTTCGACTCCGGTGATGAAGCTTAGCGATACCTGTAACTTGATTCTACTTGAAAATCGGTCCAAGTTATATCTTTGGCAAAGCTTTGAGCATCCGACTGATACATTTCTTTCTGGTATGAAGATGGACCCCGAATTCTTATTAACTTCATGGAGCAGTAAAGATGATCCATCACCGGGGAACTTCACCTTCAAACTAGATCCTCATTCGCGGTCTGTCCTCATGGAAAAGAGCACCATTTACTGGAGATCAAGTAGAACAAATGTTTCAACAAGTGAAGTGCCTTCTAGAACAGTATAATTCTGGAATTTCAGCAATAGTGGAACACTAACACAAGATTACCAAGATAAAAGAAAGGTGTTGACCTCTACTGGACATCTAGAGTATTGGGAGTTTGATGCAGACAAGAAAAGTTAGAACTTGATATGGGGGGAGCCAAACAATAAGTGTAGTGTGTTCAATTTTTGTGGCAAATTTGGCACCTGCAATGTCAACAGTTGGTTTCCATGCAAATGTTTACCCGGTTTCCAACCTAAATTCTCGGGAAAATGGAACGCCAGTGATTTTCGGATGGTTGCATCAGAAACTCTGCATCGTCATGTGGCAATGACTTTGTGAGCTTGAAAAGAATGAAAGTGGATGATTCATACTCAACAATTACTGTTAATGTTGAAACAGATTGCAGGGAGGAGTGCCTCAAGAATTGCCAGTGCCAGGCGTATTCATTTGTTGGCCAGAGAGACTCCACTATTTCATGTTTGATTTGTTCAGATGATCTAAAAAAATCTTCAGGAGGATCAAGCCGGTGGTAACAATCTCCAACTCCGGGTTGCGCTGTCGGATATAGGTACTTTACTTTGCACAGATGAGCATGAAAAGTACTCAAAGCTGTTGTTATTTATCTCTAGTCTGATGTTGCAAATTGCAGCATTCAAAAAAGTGTACCCTAAAGATTTAACTATGTCTAATCTACTTTTCAGAAGCAACAACTAGAACTTGTGAGACTTCTGGCACGAACTTGGTCCCTTATCCCCTATGCCCTGGACCGGAATGCAGTGATCTAATGTACTTCAGTTTCGACTGTAATAACAATACAGACAAACTAAGCTTCATGGAACCTAATGGCATCTACAGCGTCATTACAGTCGATCCAGATGCCCGAACATTCGTCATTCCAAATGAAAGCCAAAGAGGCAGATGATTGTTCTACAATGGATTCTTCAGCAAGCAGAATTTTGCAGTTCAATCAATCCTCGCTGTTCAATGTGACTAGCAACTGCAGAGGTGGTGTTGGCAGCTTAACTTCTGATTCTACACTAGAGGATACGGTTGAAGTCAAAATTAGTTGGAAGCCACCCCTAGAGCCAATCTGTACTTCAGTGGCAGACTGCAACAATTGGCCACATTCAATAAGCAATGAAACAGGAAATGGACCAAGACGGTGCCTCTGCGATACCACCTTTCATTGGGATGGATCAGCTTTAAACTGTACCCAAGGTTAGTGTTGAATTGGATGCATAAATTATGTAACTTATTGAGAAACCAGTATATATGAAAAATAGAGAATATTATTGTTGTATCTTTTGCCTATTGTATACATATCATTATATAGCACACACACCATGTCTAACTAACTGAACAACCATAACCACCTAACCATAACAAACTAACAGATTCAACAACCAACCATAACCACCTATACACATTAGCTATACTCAACATTCTCCCCACTTTTTCCTTCTCCCCCGAGAAAGGACTGCACATGGACCTTTGCTCGAAAAATCTCAAACTTCTCTGTGGATGAGGGCTTGGTCAACCCATCTGATACTTGATGACTGGCAGGAACATAGTTAACCAATACCTGACGAGCTGCAACTTTCTCCCGAATAAAATGAACATCAAGCTCAACATACTTTGTCTTAGCATGATAGACTGGATTTGCAGTTATGGCCACTGCGATGTTATTGTCACACCAAACTACAGGCGTTTTCGACTGCAGAATTCCCATGTCTTAGAGTAAAGCACTTATCCATGTTGTCTCGGCAGTAACATCAACAACACTCCTATACTCAGCCTCCATGGTAGATCTAGAGACAAACTTCTGCTTCTTAGAGCTCCACATGACCAAATTATCACCAACAAAAACACAGTTACCTGAAATAGACTTCGAATCATCTGTATTCCCACCCCAATTAGCATCAGAAAAAGATACAATATGCATATCTTCCACAGATGGGGTTATAACCAGGCCATGATTAAGTTTACCAACCAAATATCGCAGAATGCGTTTAATTGCCACAAGATGACCATGCCTAGGTGCATGTATATATTGTACCATCTTATTAACACTGAACGAAATATTAGGGCGAGTATGACAGACATAAAGAAGTTCTCCTACAATACTGTGATATTCATAAGCGTCAGAAAGTAGATCACCATAATCATGTGTAAGCTTTGACGTTACCAGCATAGGTGTGGAAGCAGACCCAACATTGTTCATCTTAGTCTTCATTAACAACTCTATGACAAACTTGCGTTGACAGAGAAACAATGTTTCACCACATCGGTGAAACTCAATACCAAGGAAGAAACTAAGTTCTCCAAGATCCTTTAAAGCAAAATCAACACCCAACAGCTTCACAATCTCTTCAATCTGCACATTTGACTCACCTGTTATAACTATATCATCCACATAAACTAGCATATACACATAACTCCATTTAACACAACTAACAAACAAAGAAGTATTGGACTCCTTAAAACCAATACGAAGACAACATTGTTTTAATTTGTTATGCCAGCTCCGAGGTGTCTGTCTCAAGCCATACAAGGCTTTTTAAAGTTTACACACCAGCTGCGTACCGTTAGTATGCTTGTAATATGACCAACCGTGGAGACAACACTACCACAATATGCCAAAGTGTCACACGTTTTTTAACTCGAGACAAGTACAAGCGCATACTATCATCACCTTTCTTGAGAGATTGCAGTTTACAGTGAAGATTCATAACAGCAGTTGACAATCTGGTGGCAAAGATCTGCAGCATAGTATTCCAAACTGCGGACGCAATCTCCGCTCCAACAAATTGAGAAAGTAAATTTGTGCTGATAGTTGACAACAACCACGATGCCAATGCACTATCCTGACTACAAAATCTTCATAATCTTCATTTGGAACCATTGTCCCATCTTCAGCAGCAACAAACTCAGGTGGAGGCTTTATCGTACCAGTGAGTAGCCGCTCATGGCGGTGACTCCTCATTGTGAGAAGCACTTGCTATTTCTAGAGCAAGAAATTCACCTCATCAAGTAAACATTAATCTTCTTGTTTGTAAACATCTTGACTCTGCTCGAAAGAGATGGAGCATCACTCGCAGCCAAGGAAGCCATAATCAACAGACAAAAAATCTTGCAGTGGAAGAAGAACCACTAGGCTTTTGGCGATTGATACCATATTGAGAAACCAGTATATATGAAAATAGAGAATATTATTTATGTATCTTGTGCCTATTGTATACACATGATTATATAGAACACACACCAAGTCTAACTAACTGAGCAACCATAACCACCTAACCATAACAAACTAACAGACTCAACAACCAACCATAACCACCTATACACATCAGTTATACTCAACATAATATAACCATTACCCTCTAACCTTTTCTTGCAGTAGTTGGACAGTTGGAAGAGTCTTCTGGTACACGCAAGTGGCTCCTTTTGATCATTAGAATATCTCTGCCAATCGGGACGACCTTGTGTACAGTAGTTTTGATGTACATGTGGAGAAAAAAGGTGGTAAAAACACGATGTAAGGCGTTTAAGTGAAAAGAAACCCATGTTTTTAACAAAGATTGTTGTAGTCACCAATATGTATGTTCCTTTGGAATTCAGAAAAACAAAGAAAAGCTTTTCTTCTTCGATATGACACCAAGAGACGGGTTAAAGAGCTAATAGGCTTCAGCCATTTCGAGGAAAAAGATGGTAAAGGCATAGACGTACATTTCTTCGATTGCAAAAGCATACTAGCTGCAACAAACAATTTCTCAGAAGAAAACCAACTTGGAAAATGAGGATTTGGGTCGATTTACATGGTAATAATTTCCACATTTTGATAAGTACTTTCCATATATCCTTTGATAGTTCTATTATCTTAAAAAGGCTATGAAATGATGCTAGGGTAAATTTCCATGAGGTGAAGTAGTCTCCGTAGAGAGACTCTCAAGTGTTTCAGGACAAGGCTTGGAGGAATTCAAGAACGAGGACCTAGTGACCACTCAGCTGGCACCTCCCTCTTCCCCAACCGAAGGAAAGCTGCCAGAACACTCCACTGCAGAAACAAGCAACCAACCAACCAAAATTCAATGATTTCTATTTTATGTAAAAATGGGTATAAGACCCTTGCATGAGAATGTAAAAAAGGACTCTTGGGGCAGTTAAAAAAATATCGGGAATTTTTTAATATTTTCAAAACAAAAACAGCAGAAATTTCACGATTATTCGATTCTTTTTTTTTCTTTCAATTTTTCTTATTCATGGTTTTGAATAACTAAAAAACATAGGGAAAAAGCGTTACTGTTCGGCCGGAGCCTCACTGGCTTTCAGGGAGTTGGTTCGTAGATCCGAATGGTGAGGAGGAGCATCTTGAGAAGGGAAGACCATACTGAAATTTGGGCCCGATCCAACGGCGGACGACAGAGATTCGGGACGTGGATGATGAGGGATTCTCGACTTATTTTGCGACGTTGGGGGCCATTTTCACAAAACCAAGCCCTAATCCATGACCACCACGTCGAGACGAGTCTCCTGGTAAATTTTGATGGGCAACGGCCACCGGAGATGGAGGCAGTCGGCGACAGCTAGCGAGGGCTAGACGGTCGGTGACCAGTCTAGTTTTTAGAGAGTGGGGAGAGCCTCTCTCTCTAGCTTTTATTTTAAAAAACAAAAAAAATGAAATTATACAAAGAAAAAAGTTAGTATTTGTAGAAAATTTTCTAGCGAAATCATATTTTAGGTCCCCCAATAATTATCGTGTTTTTATAAAAAGGCCGCTGACAATGATCGTTTTCGTGATTTTACCATTTTTGTCCATTCTTTATAATTTTTGATATAATTTTCTTTTAGTCCCCCTACTTTTAATGTGTTTTAACACTTTAGTCATGTTTAGTGGCTTTTTGATTTTTTTAAATTGTGTTGGCTAATTTTGTAATTTTGCCTTTTTATTTTAACATATTATTTTTAGGCTTTAAAATTTTTGGTATAATTTTGTTTTAGTCCCTATAATTTCCAGCATTTTT